CTGGCCTGGAGCGCTGCCTGCGGTTGGGCCCAGGGGAGGAAAGCCGGTGGGGGCTGAGGTGCGCTGCCCACTCTTTCCGGTGTGAGGGCCGGGGGGTGCATGGAGGTTGCCAGGTTGTCGGCCCTCCAGGGGGTGTGCTCGGCGATGCCCTGAGTAGCTTCTGTATTGTTTGTTGAAACAAGTGCATAGAACATTTGTGATTTAAAAAGTCCAATAAAGATCATTTTAGAAGAAGTGGGGAAGGAACGGGGATTTCCATGGGGAAGGTGGCGGGCGATTTGGAAGCACACAGCAGCCCCTGGGACAGAGAAACTTGGACAGGAAGAAGGGACGGGAGTGCCGGGCCCTTAGGCCTCGGCCTTTCTCTGTCCGGTCCCTGCGTGCACTCCTTGCTCCACGCCGACAAAGGTAGACTAGCCTTGGCCATCACGGCCACACCCAGGTGATGGTCCCAGAGCCACACCTGGACCCAGGCCCACCCACACTCCCCTGTTGACCCATGCCAGGTCCTTAGACCATAAAGAGCCCAAAGCTGACTCTGGGGGACGTTTGTCCATCATCTTACCCATTAACCACACATCTGGGAGGAGTTTCCCGGTTATGGGGACGCATTCAGCCAGGCCACGTCCCGTGACAAGGTGGACTCCCCTCCTTTGCCCCTAGTGTCTCTCCCAAGACTAGGAGTGTGATGAAGGGGTCAGGAGCCCTGGCTCCCCAGCCCCACGGTCCCCATTTGAACTCTGCCTCCACCGCTTGCCTCAGGCAAGTTGTCTAGTCTCTCTGAGCCGCAGTTTCCTCATCTGAGAAATGGGGCTGGCGGTGGCTCTCTGGCCACAAGGATGGTGATTAAATTAGATCAGGCACAAAAAAGCACTTGACCCTGTGCTACCCACCACATAGCCACTGGGAGCTGGCGTATCACAACTGTCACTCTTAGGTTTCTTCCCAACGTCATCGGAATCCATGACCACCCAAAATATTACTGGATTAAGAGTGAGAGCAGTGCGAAAGGAGAAAACAAACACTCCATGTGCTCTGCCAGGCCCAGGCCCGTTCTCCCTGCAGGTCTGAGGGCTGGTGTTGAAGGCAAGAAAGAGAGAGAGAGATGAAATCTGAAAATAACGATTTTATTTGGTTTATGTCACATTTTCATAAATGGCATCTAATTTCAGAAAACAAAGTTCAAGTCTGCAAAAAATGCACGTACAAATCTAAGAAGGTAACTCTACAGAAATATACAAAGCAGGACATGGTGTGTTAGGTAGAGTTAGAGCTCACATCCAGGGTCTGCCCAGGCCTGCGTTCCCATGGACAGAAACAGCCAGGGGCAAGTGCCCAAGGGAGCCCCTGTTATTTTTAAATATATATATATATATATGTACGTATGTATATATGTTGAGTTTATCTACAACAGTGCAAACCTCTCACAGCGTGCAAGCAACTGTATTTCCTAGGTAACATGTCTAATTCAAAGTCACCCATACAGTATTATAAAAAACGGGGCTTATATAACTATATAGTAGATATACAGATATATGCACATGTTTGCACGCTGGTTAAATAAGGTTACTTGCATTGACTCTTGCTTTGGAAGGAAGAATAAAGGAAAACATTAGAATAGCGGTGCATCAAATGAACGGCGACGGCTCACGACGGATTCTGCCATGATGGGGGGCTGCACCCGCACAGCCACGCAGGAGAAAACAGAGGAGGACAAGGTGTCAGTCACAGAGATTAATTTTGAAACACACATGTGCTATTGAGAAACTCAGCTCCAGTCCCCTCCCACAGGGATCCTGACTATAAGAGTCGAACCATCACGGGTGGTGGGTTTTATTAGCGATTTGAATGACAAGGCATTTTTTACCGTTTTTAATTAGCTGAGGACATAAAGACAGGATACAGCTGACTAAGCTGGGGCAGTCTGTCACCCAAAGATCATGGAAAGGAGACCCCAAGGTTCACGGCGACGGAATTGTGAAAAATGGAAAGGTATTGAAACAAAAGAGCTACCACGGCCACCAACATGTTCTCAGGAGAACCGACTCCCTGTTGTGGTGTTCAGACTGGGCTGCACTGTGGCCTCGGGGGGACAATGGTTGGCGGCTCTGCCGGAGCCCCTGGAGCCCCGGGCTTCCTGCCTTCCCCCTGGGGCCGATCCACTGCCCCCGGAAGGAGAGGGCCCATCGGGCCCCCAGCAGGGGAGAGCGCCCATGAGCCTGGCACCCCAGAACAGCCGTGTTTGGCAGACGCTGTTTTTCCGAGAGCTCCCTGCGCCGAGCCAAGGCTATGCTAGAAGAAAGGGCTGGTACGGACCAGGCCTTGGGGCAGGTAAAGCGAAAGGACAACAGCTCACACCAGGTGCTGGCAGCAAGGGCTCCCGGAGGTCGCCTTCAAGGGACGCGTGTCCGGGGGACCTGAGAATGGCGCCAAGCGGGCCAGCGGGGAGCCACCCCTACACTTGCCCGTGGGGTCAGCCTCTGGTCCCAGCTCACCTGGGCCCCTGCTGCATGCGACCAGTCACCCCCATCATGAACCACCACAGGTGGCTTACAAGGGCCCCCAACTCAAATCTCCTGACACCAGTGAACATGAGATGCCATTTAACTGTATACAATATCAGGGCCACGCTGAAGTTCAGGCGCAGAGTATAGGCCCAAGGCGCACACAGGTGACCAGCCCGAGTCTCTGTCCTGTTTCCTTGGTGCAGACGCAGCAAACAGGATGCTGGCATCCCACTGAGAGAAAACTCCCACTGAATATAATCATTTAAAATTTTGCTGTTTCTTATTTATGTGGCTTGGGCTCGTGCCACTCCCGAGATCTGGTTAAAACCAGGAAGCCCAGGGAGACATTCGTGCATGCTTGTGGCCGTGGCCATGACTTGGACTGCAAGGCGGTGGCTGTTGGGGTCAGGCCCCAGCCATGGAAAGGCTGCACAGAGCTGGCCGAGGTCCCGCACGCCCCCACACGGCCCCGGCCCAGCCCCAGGGTCCCCCCGGGTCGGTGACAGAGCAAGGGCACTTTTGTGGCTCAATTCCTTTCTCTTCAGCTTTGCAATGGTCACTGTTTGGTGGAGAGGCCCTGGAGCTGTGTTCCCACACATGACAATCCCTCCCCTGGCTGGAATGTGGACTGTTTTTTGCTGCTGACCCCAGGGGACTTATGTGAGGACTGAGCGGCACTGGGTCCCTAAGCCTGGCTTGCGCCTGAGGGAGTCACATATATGCCCTGGGTTTGTATTGGTGGAGAGCAGCCTCCTCAAGGGGCCACGGCATCTCTGTTGGAGAAAGATCCCAAGCTGGCATGCCCAGGGAGAACATCAGGATGGAGCAAGGGCCGAACCCTTCTGTTTCCTCAAAGGCGGGAACAGGAAATTGGGAGGGGTATGCCCTCGTTTGAGAAAACCTAATCACAGCCAGGAGGGTGGGCATGCGGGCACCCTCCTCAGCGGCCTTCCTGCCCAGGAGGCGTGCGTTGAAGTACAGGCTGGAAAGAGCTTTGCAAGCGTGAAAGTTAGTGTGCACTAGGGGTAGGGCACCCCCCTCCTTCCCTGCTCTGGTCGAGGGAGGCCCCGATGACTGTCTCAGAGGCGTCTCCCTGCCGTGAGAGGCTTAGTGCAAGGACGCAGAGCGACCTTGACTTTCATGCAAGCTGGAGCGAGGGAGGGCCTGTGCTCTGCAGAGCGGGGAGGCTCGGTCAGCAGGCACCGCCATCATGAGCCCGTCCCTCCTCTGGGGCGCTCTCCGATTGTGCACGCCACCCCAGGCTCCCCTATCATTTGGGAGGAAGGCAGAGGCCATCGGTTCGGCGACTTTGTGCAGCCCTGTTCTCTGCTCTGGGTCTCAAGTGGGAGGGAAGCCCCGTGTGACTGCCCAGGCCTAAGCACCGCTGCCTCAGAAGCTGCGGCTGAAGCTGAGGGCCTTGGTAGCTCCGGTAGCAGGTGACTCCAGGCTCCTTCTGGGTCCTGCTCAGCCTGCCTGGGAGCTGAGCTTATGGGGGCGCTCTCTCTGGAGCAGCCACCTGCCAAGGCCATGGCCTGGGAAACCTGTTTCCCAGGCGTCTGGAGCCATGAATGAGGATGTCGCCCTGGTGGAACGCTGCCAGGAGACCATTGCAAGGCTGAAGTGGGCGGGAGGGGGTGGGCTGCCTGCGTTTGGGGGCCTTGGCACTTTCTGCGGTCATGGCCAACGTTAACAAGGCAGAGGAGGTGAGTCTGGGAGGACAGAGGCAAACCACCAAACTCTAAGACAGTTCAGCATAAAACATGAAATTTCCCGAGACAGGAAGGTGATTATTTACAATTGGTATTAGACTGGAACACTAAGTAATGACCCCCGAACCCCTCCTAAATGTACGGCGAATGTATCCAAAGTATAACCTCCAAATGCATTTTCACTAGCCCAATTCAAGCAAGTCATTTTGAATTTGAAGCGTTTAACAGTGAACATGAGAAAAAGCTGTATGTAAAATATTTTATTAGCAGTCTTCATTTCTTGAAAGTCTCTAACTGTAGAGCCGTACACTCTGCAACCCCTGCCCCGCTTTGAGCTGTTTTGTTTTAGTTTTTGTCAAACTGTAGTCCAGTGGACATGGAGGAAAACCTCCGCGGGGTTGGACTGTGCTCTCACCATCTGCGTGGCAGGCATGAATGAGGGAGTGTTCTCTTCCCTTCTCAGAGTCAAGGGTGACCGAGGATTCACAGATACGCTACGGCGTGCAACCTAGCCCAGGCCTGCATGCGTGCAAGAGTGTGTGTTTATGCGAGTGCGCGCATGCACGCTCCAGCCCCACTACCCAAGCTCATCCACAGGCAGAGCTCCTTGTTAGGGTGCCTGGAGGGGAGAGGTGTGGCCATCCTCCCACCTCAGCTACCTGTTCGGAGCTAGAAATCCAGAATGAATAGCCACTAAGCTAGTATTGCATTTTACACCTTACAAAGTACAGCCACGTACACTTGTACACTGAACAGAAGGTAATGTGGCAAAGCAAAAAAAAAAAAAAAAAAAAAAAAATCAGAGAGAGAGACTTTGGGGTCAGACAGGGGCTTGAATTCCCAATCTGCTCTTTCCTGGCCCTGGGACCGGGGACCTTACTGCCCCCCTGCCAGCTTGGGTGTCCTGTGTCTCCAGAATGAATGGGATGATGCGGTCATGGGACCCCTCCCGCCTGCCCGCTCTGGAGGGCTGGCCCACATCGTCTGAGCCCCTCCCCAAGCCCGCCAAGCTCAGGGGTGGTCAGTCCCCGTTGCTGAGTAAACAAATCGAGGAATCTATAAGGCATCAGCGCAGCGCCCAGAACATTCACGAAGACGCTCAACTCACTGGAGCTCAAGCTTTTCTAGGGGACACAACTGAAGTGACTTTGACCTCGTGGACACAGCCCATCCCTAACTTCCTGGCCTTGCCTTTCTCAGAGTGGGAAGAAAGACCTTTTTGTGGTTGAGTTTCTACCTGAAAACTTATAGGTCCCATTCCCTGGTCCTGAAGGCCTCTCCCCCAAGGTGACATAATCTGATTCCAGCATCTTCTATGTTCATGGGGGGCTTCTTCCCTTTCTGGGGCGAGCTTCCCACCTCGCCCACAGGAACTTTGGGAGAATTTAATTCTCTAGCTGGCATTCAGCGAGTGTAACAGAGAGGGCACAGACACTCTCTGTGGGGACAGAGGTGAGGGGCTCCCAGAACAGGGCTGGCCAGCATGGACTAGGCCCCGATGCCATCTTTGGGGGCCAGGGCAGTGGTTAGAACCCAAGTGCCCCTTTCTCTTCGGACAAGTTTCATTTGAAAACAAAAGTCTCTGAGCTCCTGCCTCTGCTCAGCCCCCCTCCGGAGAAGCCGCTCATCTTTTTCCGGGGCTCATCCTTCTCTGTCGAGAAGAGGTCAGGGGTGAAAGGAGTGTTTGTGTCCCGCACTCAGAAATGACTGAAAAGCATCGGAATTGGGAAGCTGGCCTGCACATCACTGCCTGCCTGTTAACCACTATTTAGAAATATCAGTAAGCTGCTTGGATGTTCTCTTAGGCCACTGGAATCGGGTATTTTCTCAAACTACCCAGAAGCAAAAGCAGAGGGCAAATATCTGGAGATCCGAACTGAACGGCTGCACTTCTGTAAAAGCTGTTGAGGGTTTATAATGAGAACGTACACGCAGGGGACACTTGCTGACAGTTGAATTGGGGTGAAGGCAACATCCTAGGGTGATGCTTCCTCGCTCAACATGGCTGGAGGTCTTCCGAGGCAAATTATCCTGGGGTGCTGACTTCGTACGCTTGCTGCACCCACTCAGCACCCTTTAAAGATAGCTCTGGGTCACTCTGCATGTGGGTTTCCCACCTGGCAGCCGCCAGCTCTCATGCCACCGAAGACCAGCCCCTGGGTAGGGGAGGCCTCCGTCAGTCCCTCATCTGTGAAGCGATGATGTAATCTGCTAACAGTGCAAAACCGAAATGCTGGGAGCACCAACTCCTCTGGAGAGGATTCCTTCCAAGGGCTTCGGAGCTGCCATTTTAAATCTACAGGAATCTCACTGTTTCCTTCGGAAATTGCTGAGACACGCCGCTGTGGGCTCAGTGACGGGAGCGAGGCTGCCCGTGCAGTGGGGACAGTCACCCCACCCAGGGCAGTGTCTGGTGTGCACGTCCTGAGTCGGGCCACAGAGCCGCAACCGGAAGGGCTCACCCGGAGGGGAAGAGGTCTCCAAACACGGACCTCGCCTGCTGTAATTCTGAGCGTGAGGGACGATTTTCTCCTCTTCCCAACTCCGTACCGCACTAGGCTGTTCCTATGTGGGTCTTCCTATGGGTGATGTCTTACAGGCAGAGCTACCTTGAAATTAAAGACTTTCTACAAAGGCTAAGTTTGACCCTGGTTACATAACATAGTCTGGAAGGCAATGCTATCTTTGTGTGGAACAAGCAAACCTAAAAAATTACATTTTTAATATACCTCGATGGTGTTTACTACAAAAGGATCTAAGGGGGAAAAAGTGACCTTTAAAAATCTGCAAATTCAATTTGTGGGCAAAGTAAAAATTGAACTCTTTTCATTCTCTGAAGTAGGAACTAAGAGTTTTGGGAAGAGAACCAAGGAATCTTTCAGAGCTGCAAAGGCCTGGGAGACAAGCTAGTGCTGCCATTTACAGAGGAGGAAACTGTGGGCCAGAGAGGTTTGTGAATTTGCCCACAAACATACAATCTTTCATGAGGGGGCCCTGATTCCAGGACAGTGATGTTCTAGAAGGGGAACACAATTCCACTTTCCTTCCGAGGAGCTTCTTTGGCCAGAATCCCCGCCTACCCCGCAGACACGCAGCCTCTGACAGCTGACAGGCGCGCGGGTACCCTGGTTGGAAGTCAGAGGCTGCTCTTCCCGCCCTGGAGAGGTTTACTCGTGTGACTGCGCCACTTAGGAAGAAGGGGCTCTGGTTGCGAGGTCCACACGGACCCAACAGTGAGCAGGTGGTACGGCTGAAATGCCTCAAGGACCGGTCTCCGGAGGCGGACTCACCCGCAGCCTCGTTTGATGAACTACAAACCCCTCAGCCACACCAAGTGTCCGCCGGGTTCCTGGGGGGCCTTGGACTCTAATGAGGTCTCTGTATCTTCTGTCTTGCACAGTCAGCTCACCGTTCATGGCTGCACCTGGGACCCCCCCAACGTCCGCACCTGCGTGTCCCTCAGTCCCTCGTTCCCAGGTTCAGTGGAGGTAGTTGATGTGATTAATGAGGAAAGGGAAAATGGCTGTAAAAACTCGACAGGGTGGATCTTCTAGAATTTTTTTTTTTTTTTTAGGCAAAATTAAGATGCTCAGAAAGTAAGGAAGAAAGAAACAAATTATTTTGCTTAAAATAAGAAGCAAAGGGAAAATGAGAGACTTTGAAAGAGTTGCCTTCAATTTCGCCTTCCAACTTTTTGCTTAGCTTTTCGAAACGTCTGTACGGCTTAGCGCACACAGTTCCAAAGTCTCCTCTCAACCTGCACTTGCATCTTTCACAGGTTCATTAATGAGGCCAGCTCACCCTGAACAATTCTCTTCAACAAGTACAAAAAAGTACAGTTTCTTAATATGAATGCAATTCATCGACTTTTGGCGTGGAAAATGACTTCCCATTGGAAAAAGAGACAAAGTGTAGAAAGACGGAAACTACGAAAAACAAGTCATAAAATGGGACCGCTTCCCTCTTTGCCTTTCTCCCCCAGGACGTAACTGCACAGCGGCCAGCGGAGAGGCTGCCTGCATCCCCCATCCAGGACCAGAGCGACCTGGTCAGGAGGAAGAATGCCGCCGAGGGCGCCTCTTGTCACCAGCTTTGTTGCAGGTTTAAATTCTGCCCCAGCTTTGGAAGTTTTATATTCTGCATGTGAAAGTTATCCTTTTACCTCTTCTTCCTAGTTAAAGCTGGTAAGGGTAATGGAGAGAAGACCCGACCCCACTGGGCGGAGCTGTCGAACACTTGGCACCCACGAACCGGACGTGGTGGCTAGGGATTGGGTCACAGTTGTCCCTGTGTCCTTGGGCACAGGCTGGCCGCCACGATTCTACAAGTTGCCCCTGGCGGCAATGTCTCATTTTCCTTTCTTCTGGCGCATTCGGGTGCTTTACCTCTCTGCCCGGATTTTGTACCTCAGCACAAAATAGGCGATGAGGCGCAGTGAGATGAAGAAAATGCCCAGCACAATGAAGTCCAGGTAGAGTTTGGCGTTCTCCACGTCCAGTTCTCGCAGAATGGCCTCCGACTTCTGAAAGTGGCAGGTCTCGTCGATGTCGCAGTGCAGGTCCTCTCGGTCCAGGCCGTAGATGGACAAGATGACCCCCTCAAAGCCGTACCTGCGGAGGAAAGAGCCCAGTGTGAGGAAGGCTCTGCCCCGGTGACCCTACAACTTGCCCGCTGCCCCTGGCTCTGCCTCCGTTTGTTGAGGGCAAAGTACTGTCCCCCTCCTCCATGGCTCCCAGTCGGCTCCCTTCCCAAAGACCTGTCCTCACTGAAACACTTCCTAACCTCCCAACACCTCCCTGAGATGAACCCTTACGGCAGCTTCACTATGTTTTCCCCTTTTGTCCCCTCCAAACTGAACAAATTGTAGGCTTTTGTTCAGCGGTTGAAGGCATCGAATACCCCTTTGATTACTTCTGCTGGCACGTACTTTTTAGAAGTTAGACATAATAGAGGGCTGATGGCCTTCCAAGCACCACACAGCACTCTCACAAAACACTCCTGCCCCATCTCTTGTTCCGTGCCAGCCCTACACGGTCAGAACAAAAACGCTGATTCTGAGGAGAAAGACGACGTTTCGGGTTTCTTGGCACGGTGCTGGAACTCTGTACAAGAGCTTTGTTTTTCCAGTTTGTTTCCAGAACAATATACCTGGGCCTGAACTGACATAGAAAAGCTTGTCCTGACTTGGGATCTCATGTGTCACGTGAAATTGCTCCAGAGGGGCCGAAAAGCTCTGAAGACAAGCGCAGCGCGCCGAGGACCACCGGACCCAACGGCCCCTGAGCGCGGAGCGCGCCATCTGATCCGGCGGCCGAAGCCAGGACGCTTGTGTCCAAAGATATTAGGATGCTTAAGTCATGACTCGTTTTCCGCAGGATTTCTTATTAGTGTTTACAATGTTCAGAAATGTGTTATGAGCACTGTTCATTTCAGAGAGGAACGAAGTGCCTAAAAGGTAGAAATGCTCTCTGAAGACAGCTCTTCAAAGGACCAGAATCTGGGCCTTCTGGGGCTTCTTCAGGATACGAGTGACTCGTCCTTATCCTTGTTGTGTGTGTGTTGGTGAGAGCAGGGCACACAGAACTGGGACAAAAATAAAAGGCACTGATCTTCTTAGATCCATGATCTAGGAATCGTGCCGCCATTTAGCTGACAGCCGGGAGGTGGCTTTTTTGAGTGTCTACACATTAACAAGAGTCCCCTTGCCTCTGTGACCGTAAAGCTCCCATGTTGTAGAGGGCACCCCCGACAGGCTACCTGACGTAGGAGATGTAGGACATCCACTGCAGGTAGGTCGGGATGGTGTCAAAGCTGACGAAAAACCCTGAGAAGAGGAGGACGGGGATGGCCGTCACGGGGCCCACGAAGGTCGCCACCTGGGGGAACACAAAGAGAGCTCACAGTCCCGCCCAACTTCTTCCGCAGGTGGCTCAGGAAGGCCGTCCTCCTGGACAGCCACCTGGAGCGCCGGGAAAGGACTGGTTTTCAGGACGGGTCACCCACGGGCCAGGACAGCGTGGAGAAGCGTCTGGTTTGGGGAGCGAGCAGCCTGCTCTCAGGCGCTCGGGACTCACCCGAGTCCTGGCTTTGCTTTTAAGGCCTGGCCTGAGCTTCCTGAAGCCACAGAGGCGCAAACATGGCAAACACATGTGGGTTTGGCAGGTTGTGGGTGGGTGGTACCAGGAGCCCTGAAGGGGGCGCATGAAGAGTCTCGGATGGGGTGGGAATGTGGGGGTGCAATGGGGGCTGAACGGAGGGACAAGCGGATCCCTCGAAGCAACAAAACCTAGGCATCGCGAGCTCGGCCTCTGAGCCGGCAGCAGGACCCTGACCAAGCCGCACTGCCTCGCGGGGCCTCAGTGTCCCCACCTGCCAGATGGAGGTAGCACAGCACCCAATTCAGGGACGTGCTCGGGACTAAAGGAGCTCTCAGTGGGGAGCGCTGAGAACAGCCCCTGGCACACAGGACGTGCCGCGCCAGGGCAGCTGCGGCTGTCGCTGTGCCGATCCTGACTAGCCGGGGCGGTACGAGTCCTGACCAGAAGCCGGCCCGCCGAAGCCGATCTAGGACGTTAGGGCAGAATCGGGAGGAGGGGGCGGTGCTGAGCCCCGCCAGGGCAGCAGCGGGGCGTCTCCTTGGCTGGTACCTGCAGGGACGTGGAGGCAGCTCCGATCAGGAGGCCCAGCGACTGCGCCACCAGCGAGGTCATGGTGCCCAGGGCAGCGAACAGGACGAACCGCACGGCGTCGGATGGCTGCGACGTCATCCAGTACACGATGCTGCAGTAGGCCACCGGGAACATGATCTGGAAAGATGGGGGGGTCCATCACCCTCTCGTGGAAATGGGGTCTCCCACCCCGGTTTACCGGGTATGACGCAGAATCCCCGCCCCTCTTCAAACACATGCCCTGCGCATACGTACCTGGAAGGGGACGTCCGCCATGGTCTTGGCCAGGTAGTAGGCCTTCAGGCTGTACCAGTAATTCAGGTGTTCCCGAAGAAACACCCCCATCTCCAGGGGAACTAGGAGGCAGCAAAATGGGACAGGGGTCAGGCAGACACACCCGCTGTGCCAACACTGACTCGGGTGACCGGGCCTGGGCCCTTCAGCACTGCGGGACTCCAGGCTTGGGCGGGAAAGGTGAGGACTGTTCACTAGCCAGGGACATTGCTGACCACTTTTATAACCCGAATCATCAAGTGGGGAATATCTATGTGCATATTGAATAGCATTTTAGTGATTAAAATAAGCATGTCTTACTCAACTTATTCTCATTGAGTAACTAACAATGTGATTCCTTCCTGTGGGCAAAAGCTCGCAAGCTGGTCCTAGAAATTCCGGGCAGTGTAGGGAGGAGGCATCCTGGGGAGGAAGTGTTTATGATGAGCTTGGCTGGAGCAGCGGGTTTCTGCGCTGTCAGCCCAAAGGGACTGGGGGCAGCTTGGTCAGCAAACGGTCTAGACTTGCTCGGAAATCCATCTGGAATAGCCTTCCCCACTCGTCGACCTGGCTGTACCGGGCTTGCCTCAGTAACCAAATGAGGTCAAAACGCCTTTCATTAATATCTCTCTCATGTTAGCCTTCCACCATGCGTGAAAGTCTTCCTTTAGTGATTCATTCCTTTGGCTTAACTATGGTGTACATTTTCTTGTCTAACAGAAAAATACAACAATACCTACATCTGTCTACAAAGAAAATGGTATTTTAAAGAACAAGACGCTATGTGTTCAAAAAACTCATCTCTTGGCTGAGCTGTGACCTCGGTCCCCGATTCGTGGGTTGGAATGACAGATAACAGAGGGGAGGTGGGACGGTGGCCAGCCAGGCACTCACACGTGAGCACGGTGGGCATCAGGGCCGCGAACATGAGGAACAGCATGGAGAAGAAGAGGAAGCCGGAGTTACTCAGGACCTTCTTGGCTTCATTCCCAATCCCCAAGTAGAGCAGGCCAATGAGGAGGCCAATGCCGATGTGCGAGGTGATCCGCAGGTGTGTCAAGACCTGGGGGCGGACATGGCTGTTACTCAGGCGCCTGGAGGTCAGGGGGTTGGGCAGTGATGGAATTATAGGGCCGTCCAGATGCACTGTCCTGACCCTTCCCCTCCAAAAAAACAAGCCTCTCCCCGCACTGAACAACTCACACACAGGTGCACACAGGGCAAGAGCTTATTGCTTGGAACACAGAATTGTTCAAAAATGGCAAGCAAGGTCCGTCTACCTTCGGAGGAGAGGACAAGTGACGATGATGGTGGATAAAGGGACGAAGGGGGGTTATATCAGAGACCCACCCTTGAAAAGCTCCATTTTTCAAACCAAGTCCCAGAGGCCCACTGAGCACTGAGCCCCTCTTGGGTGGGCTGTCCAGCTGTCCAAGTTAAAAGTGGCCCTCGCTGTGGCTCCCCACCATTCACCCCCTCCTGCCTGGTAAGCCTCCACTCAGCCTCACAGCCCTGGGCCTGGCTGGGCTTCCCTGAGGGAGGAATACCCCCGTCACGTCACGCTTGGCCCGATGACTTGCTTTGGCCAGAGGAATGTGAGCCCAAGGGACGAGCTGCCACCAGAAGTTTTACATTTGGTTTCTCCCTTGCGCTTCCTCTTTGCCACATTCTAGAAAGGCCCTGTTCCTCCATTCTGAGTCCCAGGATGAGAAGAAACACGGGGCAGAGTCACAGCACTCAGCCATAAATATTTACTGTCACAGCTGCTGGTGTTTGGGGGTGTTGGTCACAGCAGCATCACAGAGTGAAAGCGGACCAATGCGACTGGAGGAACAACAGCAGTCTGAAAGGTCCATCAGGGCCGACACAGCCAAAAATGACACGCGGCTTCCTGGGCCACGGAGGGAATTGCAAACACACTTACCGAATCCCTCATGATACTCAAGAAAGTCCTTTTGAAGAGGATGCAGAACTGGGTGAGGCAGCTGGCGGAGAAGCTGTGACAGCCTTCCATGGAAGCGGAGTCCTGAGGACACACCGAGAAGGCAGCGGCGGTGAGGCCCCAACCCCATGACGCATTTCCTCGCCGCTAAGAAGCAGCGCCATGCCGCAGGGGGCGAGGCGCAGCGCGCGCTCCCGGGCCGGGAGTGGGATTACCTTTCTCAGCCCCTTCAATCGTTTTGCCTGCTTTACCTCTTCAGAGGGCCGGTGCCAAAGGAAGGGGTTCACCTCAGCATCCCCCCCAGCCTCTTTCCGGTAGTCCGAGTCGCACATGCCCTCACGGACGGCTCTCACCAGGCGCCCATTCTGATCGCCGTACTCGCCGGACGCCACCTCCATGACTGCAGGGGACACAGGTGCACGGGGTCAGCCGGGCCCCGGGACAGGATGCCCGCGATGGCCAACGCGAATGTGGGATTCTTTCCTTTTTGCAACAGCAGAGCCATGAATCGGGCGGGATTTGTTTAATTGATTGTATACGAGCTGCAGGAGGCTGATTATATGATAAAATTGTTGAGTAACCCCTGTTCTTTCAGCGCTAAACCGCCCAGCAAGACCACGTCTCATGTCAGGAGCATGGGGGTGAAAATGATGAGCTTATTCGTTTTTAACGGGGGCGCCCATCCAGTGCTTGCTGAGTACCCGGTACAGGCGCCCAGGCCTCGGAGCAGAAGCCGGAAATCGAGCCGCATGTGGTGGGTGGGGTCAGCCGTGGCTGATGAGAGCAGTGGCGGTGCGGGGGACCACAGAAAAGGGGGTGCTCGGGGCCCTGAAGGGGCGCTTGGCACCCTGGGGCCTTGAAACTTGTTATTGTTCCCAGATATTTAATCTGGAGGAAAAACCACCTCTTTTTCTCTGCCGTTAAAAGTTCCAACACAGGATGGCACTTGAGTCATCTGTGAAATAATAGTTCCTGAGTGGGGGCCTCAGGTAAAAGAGGAAACCCACCACGAGTGGCAAACAAACAAACAAACAAATATCCTTTCTTTTCCTTCCTGGTCAAGGTCCTACTCACCAAAGTCGGCTGGGTTGTGGTAGGTTGGGCAGTTCAGACCTAAATCCCTCAAATATGGCACAAGATTGGAGACTTTTCCCCGGTACACACACTGTCCTTGACTAAGGACATAAAGCTGGAAAAAGCAAGGAGAGGTGAACATCAGCCCTGCCCGTCCCCATAGAGCAGCTGGTGCTTTCAGCCCATCCACACACCCATCCACCCATCCACTCATCCACCCACCTCCCCAAACCACACTCCCGCTCTTCCCTCCAACCGTCCACCCACCCATCTATCTACCCACTAGCCATCCTTCCCTCCATCCACACATCCACCCACCCACCTACGGATCCACCCACCCACCCACCTGAATCTTCCCTCCTTTTTTCCTCCCTCCCTCCCTTCCTTCCCTCCCCCTCTCTCTCTCACCTCCCAAAGACCGTTAAAGTTCACAGGGAAATCCATGATAAGCCAGGGAAGTCAGAGAAAACTGAGACTATCATGGGGCCCTGAATTATTTTATTTTATTGATTTGTATTGATACTAACTAACTATCTCCTCAGGAAAGATTTTGGAGCCTTACATATTTCCACCCTTGGGACTTTTTTTTTTTTTTTTTGCTCATAATAATATCAAAACCTAAGGTTTATAAAACATAATATTATACAAATAAAGTGACTTGTCATTTAATTCCATAACACAGGTGTTTCCCCATTGTAACAGGCAAGGTAATGAAGCTACAATGATATCAGAGACTCACCCAAGTCCCTGCGGCCACAAGCCAGCCCCAGAGGAGGACACTGGCCGGCTCCTCCCACCCCCTCCTTAGCTGCTCACGGCTCGAGCGTCTTATGAAACATAACACTGAAGGCCACTCAACAACGAAGACCACTTCATGAACTAAGGGGAAGCTGAGTATCCGGCATCTGGGTTCCCCAGGGCTGGCCCCGGCAGGGCCCACGTACCTGGTCGAACAGCTCGAAGAGCTTGGCGCTGGGCTGGTGGATGGTGCAGATGATGGACCGCCCTCCTTGAGCGAGCCCTTTCATCAGGGAGACCACCTGGAAGCAGGAGGCGCTGTCCAGGCCGCTGCAAGTCAAGGGCACCATGAGACGCTTGTGGGACCCCCGCACCATGCCCGCGTTCAAGGTGCGCTGGGTGGGTCTGTGTGCCAACCTGAGCCATGGGTGCCCCCAGTCTTAGGGAGAGTGCGGCAAGCCAGGCCTCTGCTCTGTGACCCCAGAACAGAGGGAGAAAAAGATGGGACAGCTAGGGTCCGTGCCTGCCCCATCTGAAGCTATAGAGGGGGCCCCCAAAAATCTGCAGGCGGAGGGGTCAGGGGCCCTCCCCTCCGCTACTCCTGAGTCATACCTGGTTGGCTCGTCAAAGAACATGACGGGAGGGTTGTTGACCAGCTCCAGCGCGATGGCCAGGCGCTTGCGCTGCCCACCCGAGAGGCTTCCGGTCCGCGTGTTGGCACAAGACAGTAAGCCCAGGGCCGTCAGGATCTCCTTGACCTGGGGGTGGGGAGCGGCAGAGCCAGAGTGGCCGTCAGTGGCCTCCTCCTACATGTCATCATCTCCAGAATCCACATGGAAACATGCTGCCCCCCCACCCCCGCCTCTTCCCTCCCAGACACAGACCGACGCCGATGACGCCAATCCCACCCCAGGCTGCCCGTTTCCAAGTCCAAGGTCCTGATTTGGGTCCTGAGGCTGAGGAGCAGTGGGGACGCCAGATGCCCTGCCTGGGCGGAGTCCTTGCCCTGCGTCCTGCGGCAACCTTCCCTTGCAAGCCTCTCCCAGGGCCCAGGTCTGCGGCGTGGGCACGGACGCATGGAGGGACGGGTGATCGGGTCTCTGGCCGGCGCAGAGGAAGGGCCACCAGGACAGTGAAATGAGATAATGAGTGAACGCGCCTGGCCCGCATAAATGTTTAACTGATGGCAACTCTTAACGATGCTGTTGCCAATGACGCAGCTTCCGCAGAAGCAGGACCCCGCGGGCCAGGCATCTGGGAAAGAAGGCCAGAGCCCCCGCGCACCTGTCAGCAGAAGAGCAAGGTCTCTGCAGGAGCAGCAAGATGGCCACCCTGCCTGAAGCGGCCGGTCCCTCCCATGGTGGCCTCCAGGCCCCCAGGATGCAGGCGGGCCACCGAGACACACATATCCACTGTGTGCTGAGCCCTCCCTGCCTGGTGGGGTTATTGATCCAATGTTGACTTGGAGAACAGAAGGGTCAGCAGCCTCCAGGGCAGGTGCAGGAGCCAGTTCAGCTGCAGTGTGCGGGGCGCAGCCAGCGTCTTCTCGGGGGCAGGCAGCTGTCAGCCTCCCTGCCTCCACATGGGCTCACCTCCCAGGGTCCCCCCAGAATTTGCCCGGTCGTTGTCCCAGACCCCGGAGGCTCCTGAGTCTGTCTGGGTGGACCCAGTCCAGCGGCTTCTCTGGGGAGATGAGATCATCCAAAAGGAGAAAGAAATCACAAAGAACATTTCCGTGCCCGTGCTTGGGTGGCTTAAGCACCGTCAGTACAAAAGTTGGCTTTGGTGACAGAAAGACCCAGGACACTGCTGCTCCATGGGCTGGGAAGCAGCGGGTGAGACAGGCCTGGGTTCGAATCCTACTTATCCTCTCTCTTGCTGATCCAAACCCCGCTCCACTGCCTCTCCCGGAATGGCACGCCTTTGAGGGACACCAACCCAGAAAAAAGGGCAGCGAGGTCACTCAGAAAAGGCCACCACAGTGGGGCAGGTGGGGGCGGCTCTTCCTGGCGCACTTCCCTTCCTGTGCAGACAGAAGCACAGGCCAGAGTTGCAAGATAAAGAGATAAAGAGTCACGCTGGCCATTGCAGGCTCGCCCTGGGGTCATCGCAACATGGCACATGCCCGTTGCCTGTCCGTCTGTTTCCTCTGAGGCGTCGCTCCTTGCAGCGAAGCGTCTTCCTGGAGTGACACCCTGCAGGTCGATTGGTTTCAAAACCCGTCAGAGAGAACAATACCTGGCCCTGGGAATCTTACTCCTGAGGAAGCCCCCTCCCTGGAGGCTTCGTAGGGCTGAGGCCGCTTTTCTGGGAAACAAGGAAAGCTTTGCGACACATTCCACCCCGGCCAAAACGTTCCAGTCTATTGTGTTGCCATGCAGGGAACTGGAGGGAAATGAGTCAGGGCATGTGATGGGCTTCTTATCCTTGAAATAATCACTCCATCCTGTTGATGAGTTACTGCTGGAGACAGGACCGGCACAGGGCTGAGGGCCAGGAGGACGGGTCAGCCGGCCCAGGCCCGAGGCTCCGGTGAGGGGTGCAGGCAGGACCCGAGAACGCCTGTCGATCCTGAAGGGCGGGCCCGCTGCCTCGTTCCACCGCCATTGCGCACCTTAAGAGAGGAGCGAGGCTCTCGCTCCTGGGGATGGCCCAGCCACACAGTCCCGCAGAGAACAGCATGGTGCTCTCTTCTGGTCTGTGTCTCAGGACGTGGAGGCCACGCACCAGGCAGGCCGTCCCAGAGAACACGTCCTTTCCCTACCAAGAAAGCCATCTCCCGCCTGCTCCTTCTGCTCGGGCAGGGAGCGCGGGTGCCGGTGGCCATCCCCCCGCCTCCGCCTCCGGGGCCCTGGGCTTCCATCTACAAAGAAGGGACGCAAGGCCAGGCGCCACCTGCCTTCAGGGTGTGGGAGGCGGAATTAGATGACGCCAGCCCGTGACCTGGATGGGGCTGGGAGCTGCCTCTGAAGGTCACGGCATAGCAGGCTATGCTGGTGCGGGAGGCTGTGCTCCTTAATACAGAAAGTCAGCTGAGAGGCACGCAGGTGTTCTCCCGGCCTGTCAGCAAAGGCCACCTTCCTCAGCGTGCTAGTCTCACACGTAAAGCCTGGTCCATGCGGGCCAGGCCATCGGGGAGTCCTCCGTGACCTGCTTACTAATGGGTCTTGTGGCTCTGAGCAGCTTAGACACTTTAACAGCATCATCTAATGTGGTGTCACGCTGCCCCGCATGCAGGTGGCGCCTGGCCTCCCTTTCCCTCTTTATAGATGGAAGCCCAGAGTGGCCAGAGGCAGCGGCTGGAGTTTTCTGGCAGGTCCTGAGAGGCCAGGGCTGAGGGGACGCCCCTTTGCTGTGCTGTGTCACAATTGAGCTGTTTGCCCTGGATCAAGTTTCCTTCTTCACTGCACCCCAAATGGGGTGGGGGGTGGGTTCCAGTCGGTGTTAGGTTGACGCCAACCACCTTCAATTGACAAGAGACACAAATGCGCGTGATTCCCACGTTTTCTACAGCCCTGTGTTGGCTTCCATTAGATTCACTTATTCCTTTCAGTCTCAGGGCAGAAGAGTTCCACCTGATACGTCTTCAGCAGCCGCAAGTTTCACCGGTCGCAGAAATGGGGCCTTTCCACCTATACCGTGCAGCTAACCCTCCCCTCCTCTGACTCAGGGGCTGCACCCTAAGGGTTCTGGAGGGTGCAGCGGGGTGAAGAGAGGAGGGCAGGGAGGGCGAGGAGGAACCTTAAAGATGCCAGCGTTTCTTTTCATACCGAGGTGGTTCACATTGACGTAACAGTAGCTGTTACATGGGAGGAGAGGTAACGGACTTGAGTCGAATTGTTATTAGTATGTCCTTCACGTGTCTGTGTTCTAGCGGTCGCCCCGCATCCCATCCGCACAGGGAAAGCCACGCTGCACCTCTGGGGCTCACGCCGCACACCCTACTCTTCCCGCTGCTGGGCTGCGACCCTATGAGGGCCTCAGGAGACAGGATAGTAGTTGGTAAGTGGAATTTCACCAAATTCTATGCTTACACTGAAAAATGCCACTAGTGCTCCCAGTGGGGAGTGGAGAAGAGCGGAGCTGAGCTTGTCTTCGAAGTGTGTAAATGCTCATTGGTCCCCAAATGGGGCTTTCTGGGTCTCCCCGCTGGGCCTGCGTACCTGCCGCCCTCCCTGCTCCCTGGGGTTCTGGGAGATAAGAAGGGCCATGAAAGGGATTAGAAGAAGGCCTTACTCAGCCTGGAAACATGTTCATTTTATTTTTAAAAGGCCAGTTAATAACACGTGAGAATCAAATTTCTTCTTGCAAGTGGGCGTGGGTGGAGGCTGGTTATTTTTAACTGAATGACTAGGCGTCCTCACAGTTAGTATTTTATACAAAACGGTTGAGCATGAAGCATATTAAACACAAAAAGGGACGGCGCTTGGGCTGACCCTGGGGTCAGTCTTCTGGTCACCTGAGCTCGCAGGCTAGTGACCTGCTGCATCCTGGCTCTGCTTGTGTGGCAGCCCCAGGACGTGAGAGTCCAGGCCACGGCGCTTGCAGAGGAGAGGCCGCCCCTGGCTACCAGGCTAGAGCTCAGCACACGCGATGTCATCGTCTCCTGCCCCCCCACTCAGGAGGCAAGGCGACAAGCCAACAAAACCAGCGCCAAAAAAGTCCCTGCCCAGGTGTGTGGTCAATGGCGTTCATGCGCTTTCTGCGCCGCCTGCGGCCCCGACGCACGCACTTACCATCTCCCGTCTGCCTTCGTCTTTCTCCTGGAGCTTCAGGTGCGCGGACACCTGCAGGGGCAAGGGATGCCGTGTGGAGTCAGGGCAGGTGGCCTCAGTGGGCAAACCTCACAAGACACACCAGAGGCCAAGGGCCCCAGGGGGCGGAGGAAGACCCTCGTCTTGGCCTCCTACCTCCCTCGGCTCAACAAAGGTGGGGTCTAGGAGAGCCGCGCGTGTCTGGGGCGCCTCCTGTCCTCTCTGCTGAAGTCACTGCTGTGTCCATGAGAGAAGCTGGACATGGGCAGCAGAGAGATAAGGACACCTCAGGCCTGGGGGCTGGAGGACTAGTGGCGTATGTTTAGGAATTTCGCAAGCCAGCTGTTAAATCACTGGTAGCTTAAAACTATCCGTTGCCCATCATGGCCTATTGGAGAGTTTTTGTACCACAGAAGTTGTCACGTGCTATAGATTGGGACTCCGGTTTGGTTGTTTTGTTCGCCACCCCATTTGCCAGCATATCCCTGGCCCGCGACCCTGCTGGGAAGCAGCCTGGGGAGTCGCCGTCACGTCCAGCGTCAGCCTTGGCTCTGCGCTGCCGGCTTCTGCGGCTTTGGGGAACGAGGAGCCCCAGTTTCCTCACGGGCACAATGGTGGGGTTGGAACCCGCTCACCACGGGGCTAGTGAAGTTGCCGTGGGGATCAATGACAGGCTGAGATGCGGGGGCAGCGGCCACAGTCCCCGAGTCAGAGAGGGCCAGGCCGCAGTCAGCGCAGTTGGGCCAGCGGCTTGCCCTGCGACACCGAGTGTCACTTCTTGGTTGGCCTAGTGGGTGTGAGGGTCAGAAGCAGCTCATGAAAATGCACAGCCCACAGCCGGTAGCCAATATCACCCCGAGGTATGTGACAAGATCTCATGTTTAAATCTCATTTAAGAGCCTGGTGAGTGGTTGCGGGGAGGAGGGAAATAATTGGAAGAGTCACCAATCTTGTTTGCAAAAGAAAGCAGCACCTGAGCCAGAAATCCAAGTGCAGTTTCTCTCCGGTCGCCTGAGAGGAGAGGCACTAGCAAGTCAGGAGCCAACAGGGCATGCGTCAAGCTCGTACCTTCTAAACTTACCAGTGTGTTTCCAGGCTCCTCCTAAGCACCCAGTGCCCTTGTCAGAATGTCTGCCTGGAGGCCAGACAATCAATCAGGGCCACGGTGCCTTCCCGGGAGGCCGGCCTGCGGGAGAGGGGCCCCTGACCTCCAGAACACTGAGTACCAGGGATGTGACAGGAACATGCCCACAGGGCCCTCCTTTCTGTGTCTGTGCAAAGCAGGTTAGTGCGCAGATCATGTATCTGACACCTCACCCTGCTTCCCCTCGCTGAGATCCCCTCGGAATCGTCCTTGGCTGAAAGGCTGGCAGCCGCCGCCCTGAGAGAAGACGCTTTGCTCAGTCCCAAAGGCAAGTGCAGGGCGAGGCCTTTGCGGGCTGGGAACCAAGGCGCACCCTGTCCACTGACCAGGGCGCAAGGCAGACAGGCTGAGAACATTGCGCTACGGGCCAGGAGCAGCCCGGAGGCCCTGTCTTTTATGGTGGACGGGGGCAAAACAGAAGACCAAGCAGCCTTGCCACAAAACGCACCACAATGAGCAAAGGGCGGCTGAGTGGCCTTCTCGTCTCTTCCCAACGGGAGACATTCTAGTGGCTCCCACTGCCCACAGCTGGGTCCGTGTGGTTCCTATTGGTGTGGGCTGGGCCTTTTTAAAAAGCAGCTCCAGGGCAGGGCACTTGGCTGGGCTGTGGTCTGTTCAAAGAGCAGGGCGGCCAGGCCGTGCTGGGCCCTGTACAGGATGCCCTGGGCTACCAGCTGAAGCCTTTCTCTCGTGCTTTTGCAGGACTGTGTGTCTGACAGCTGTCGGCTATGCGCGTGCAGGGCCTGGGACCCAGCAGGTGGCAGCAAATGCTGGTTCTGTCCCCACCTGGCAAGCAGGCGAGTCAGAGGGCATGAGGCCCTCAGGCCCCAATTGGCACCAGGGGGACTGGAACTCGGCCCAAAGCCACAAATGACTGAAGGACAGCTGACGGGAAGGGCAGACCCTCGGCCCGAGGGGGCAGGACTGTGGTCACCTTGGACGGGGTCACCCACATCAGTCGGGTCAATCACTTTCTCAGGGATTTGACCTCGATTTTTGCCATCCAGAGTCTATGACAACCCAGGGTCTAGGGGCTTGTTTTCACGAAGCTGTCCAAACGGTGTGACTGTTGTCAGTACACTGCAGGAGGGAGGGGCCTGCTCCGGGAACAGGGGAGAGAGGAGGTAGCTCACCATCATGGCTTCGTGCACGGTGAGGTGCGGCAGCAGCATGTCGTCCTGCATGATGTAACAGGACACCTTCCGGAAGCAGCGCAGGTCCCGGGGCATGCCATTGATGAGGATGGCCCCCTTCATGCCGGTCTCCCTGGGGGCCAGGGGGGAACTTGTCAGCCCAGCTCCAGCTCCTCCTCCCCGTGCAGGGCCTGGGGAGGGCCCGAGAGAGAAGCGGCCCCTCCTGGCACCCTCCCACGGGGACAGCAAGGACAGAGACCCAGGACAGCCCTGGCACTCACAGGAAGGGAACGCATGGGGCAAATGCCCAGCTCCAAGACTGGAGGGCGTGTTTGTAACGAGTGCCCGTAAAGAAGCGGAGATACACGTGGATGCTTCTACACACAGCTACATGGTCACGTGCACCCCCTGGCTTTTCGGGGGGTTTCTCAGGTGGGCTTCTGAGCAGTCCTGTGAGCAGCCCAGGCTACACTGGCTGTGTCAAAGAACAGGACTGCAGGCGAGGGTGTGGCTGCTACGTCAGAAGCAGCTCCTGAGTGTCCGGCTCTGATGCTGACCGGGGAGGGAGCACAGCAGGGTCCCTGGGCTCATGTAGCTCAGAGAGGAGGGGCCTGTGCCCTGGGCTCACGCAGCCAAACGCATGGTCCTTCTCCACCGGGGAGGCTGTTCTCTGTGACCAGAGTGGCCAGGTTAGGGCATCCCATGTAGACTTCGGACACGGAGGGGGCACAGCCCGGCCAGCCACACTCGCTCCCTGTCTCCCGGACCCACATGCATCTCCGCTGCCTCTCTTGGGTGCATCGGCTCCGCCTGGGGACATGGCGGGGGCCACAGCCCGCCTGTCGCACAGCCACCCTCCCAGGTGTGGGGCGTCCACCTCCACCCTTGTGGTGCAGTGACCGAGCGCTGCCCTGTGACACTTCCAATGTCATTTTCTTCCCTGGGCTGTTCCCTTCACAGTCAAAGCCTCGTAGAGCCACCCGACCGCACCCCCACCCCCAGGCTTCCCTGAGCCTGCACGGAGCCTTAGGAAGCGATGGGAAGGACGGGAGTGGGCTCACTATTCATGTTGTTGCCACCAAGCCACATGAGGGGAGGACCTCGTTCTCCCCGGCGGGGTGCGCTCACCTGTATCCGGCCAGAATGTTCATGAGCGTGGACTTCCCAGCCCCGGAAGGACCCATGATGGCCACCAGCTCCCCACTGTTGAATTTCCCAGAAATCCCTTTCAGAAGGGTCTTGTATCCTGCAAAAGAGCAGAGGATGTTCACTCTCCAACCGTCACAGGACCCGTCAGTCTCATCCCAGGTGCAGTGCAGACCAGCGCACGGGACCTCTGACCACGGAAACCAGGTCGAGGGCGAGGTTGGTCACGCCTCCGCTTCATCAACTGCATTTCATGGGTTACGTTGACGCCAGTTCCCAGCGGGTGTACAAGGCTTTAGACTGTACGAAGCACTCGGACACGACTCTCTGGGGTGCGGAGAGCCCGCCCTTCTCCTTTCAGAATGAGGACGCGGGTGTCCGGGGCCCGGAGGCTCGTCCTGGCCCCCACGGCCAGCGCCAGCAGGTCCCGACCCAGGCCCTCACAACGGGTAATTAAATGGTTGATTTATTATTTCATTTGTGAGTTTTTATTTATAATTTATACAAATATTAATTATTCATATAGGATTTATTCATAAGTCTTTATATTAATTTATAATTAAAAGTTTATCATTTTGCAGCCACATCAAATTGCTTTGGAATTTCTGTCAAGTCTCTATCCGAGAGCTTTGTAAAAGGACAAATATCTACACATCCTGAGTAGAGCCACATGTTTTGGGGGTTTTCTGGGTACATTGTTCAAATGTGCAATAAAGAATAAAACAGAAGAAACTGGATTCGTGGGCAAAGACCCCTAATTCAGAAACAGTCCTCGGTTCCTGAGAGACAGTCCTCGGTTCCTGAGAGACAGTCCTAGGATGTACCCTTAAAAGACCAGGACCGTACAAATGCAACATTTTAGCTCCCCCATGAGGTTCAGGGGCCCGATGAGAAAGGCAGGCAGGGCACCCCACCACACCCCACTTTCTCCCCTGTCCGAGGTTGGAAGCTCCCGGACCCCAAACTTGTATGTTTATTCAAGCCCCAGCCAGGGCCTGGAGAGTTCAGATAAGACACCTGAACAACCAACGTGTCACCAGGTGCCACCTTGATGCAGATGGGAATCCCCAAGGCCTTGTTTAATCAGGCAGAGAGAAGCGGAAACAAAGGCTGGAAGCTGGTGGCCCTGTGACCTGGCTCATTACGGAGAGTGACAGCCGCTTGGGGAGGCCTGAGATGGTTGTCCCGGTGGGAAAGGGGCAAATGGATGGTGTTTGGAAGAGCAGCTCGGCACAGCAAATGAGCCGAACGCCTGCCACTGCGGTGTCTGGGCCGACGGGCCAGCGAACGCCAGCCGGGGAGAGGTGACGGAGGCCCACGGGAACCCCACAGGGCTGCAGCGGCCCTTCAGCGGACGGACAGACAGCATGGCTGAGGGACAGCAGGGACCCCTCCTCTGCAAGCTCGGGCTCCCAGTGCGGCAGGCCCTAATCAAGATGGAGCTCTGCTGGCCCAGGGCTCCGGGACCTGGGCCACAGGGGACCCGCCTGACATCACCGGGGGAGCATTAAACGCCAGGCGCGCCAGACATCTGCTGCTTTCCGGCCTCTTGTGGGTTCAGGCCCAGAGCAGGGCGCCTCCCGAGCAAACTCTCCTATAAGCTGTTTCTTCTCAAATCTCAAGGTTGGTCCCCAGCTGGACCCATAGACCAGGAGCCGACTGACGGGGCAGGTGCCTTATGGAGGTGGCCACTGGCCACTTGGAGGCCACATGCAGTCTGCACAGGGGGCATGACCACTGGAAAGCAGCCTCGTCTCTGGGATTCTGAGCGGCCCTTTCCTCTGGGCAGAGCCCAGGGGCGCTGCTCTCACTCTGCTGTCCCCGGTGCTGGCCCTCGGGCTTCGGGTCCACACTGGGACACATAGCAATAGAGGCGCGGGTAGGTCACAAGCTGTGATGCCCATAGCCAGGAAGCCAGGAGCAGCCATGGGTGTGGCCGCCAGGGCAGCATCTGGTCCTTTCAAGGGAAAAGGCTGGCAGAGTCGGGGACAGACCATGTCCTCCTCCCTTACAGCCACCAGACTGGAACTGAGGGTCTGACCGTGAGCCCTCATGCTGAACAGATCCACTGTTGAGTCCGGTGAGTTATGAGGCCTCACAAGGCTGATGACTCATACCTCAGAGCGGGACAGCGGGGGACATGGAAAGACAGGGAGTGCATGTGTGTGACACCTGCAGGGCTGGCCGGGAAGGGCTGCTGCATCTCAGTTCCTCACATTCCTCACATTCCATAATGGTGAGAATGCAGCAGACGTGGAGCAAGGCTTCTCCTCCTAAAGGCCAGCCAGCCGGCCCCAAGCTGAGCGCCGATACGAGCCTGGACATCTGCTCACTGCCCCCACGCACGCCTCGTTCTGCCTCCAGCTCTATTTGTTTTTGCCCCTAGAGGTTCCAGAACATCAGCTCCATGATGATGCGCCCAGAACTATCTCCTTAATCACCATGTCCTGTGTGCAGAGCAGTATTAGGCATGTAGTGGTCACTTAAAAAAATGTTTATGGAATCAATGAACAGAAGGGGAACTCTTTGTATAAGCACATTCAGAGTCACAGCCACCGTCTCGGGCACCGTCATTTGGTTAGAGCTTCTTTTCAAGCCATTGCCTCCAACGGGCCCCTCTGGGCTTCAGACCAGCATGTGCTGGGTCAGCAAGAAATACCCAGGAGCCCCTGCCAGTTCAGCTCTTCAGCTGGTCCATGAGTCAACTCCCAGGGCTGGGTACTGCTGTGCCATGCATTTTAGAGGGGCCGCTAGCGTCCCTCTGTGGATGCACAAAAGTCACCAGTAAACCCTTACATAATCACAAGCGAAATGTGCATTATAAATACATCAGAGTATTCCCCTCCTAATGCAGATTGTACGGATGTTTAGCATGCAGAGAGAGAGAGAACCGCACACATTGTAAGTGGATGCAAAGTTAGACACTCCCCCAGACTGAGCTTCCTGAGGAACCAGCCCCCAGGTCAGAAGTGGGAGGTAAAGGGCCCTGGGGCGCCCTTCCCGTCACTTCAGAGGGTAGTCATTTTTGAATCTTAAGCAGAACCCCAAGGGCGCTGATTTTTAGACACAGGAATAAGGGGGGGGGGTTACTTTCCTCCCCTGGAAATGAAGACAACACTCCTTGGTCTGCGGAACATTCCTTAGATGGGAAATTGTGCCCCAATAGCCCGGTGAGCCTGCTGCTGCCCTATGACCCTTGCCCTGGGATGGGCCGACTCCTCTCCAGAACATATGTCAAGAAATCACAAAGAAATGGAATGGCTGACCATTGACATGTCCTACGGGAGCTGGCAGCGCTTTAAAGGGACATGGTGCCTGTCGACACCTACAAGGTGTTGGGGACACACAACAGCTTAGGTTCGGTTGGGTAGGGGTGAACGTTTTTTCATTTGTAGAATGTGCCCTTGAAGGTCAGCCCCGCCGTCCCTGGCCGGGCTCGTGTGGGATACGCAGAGTGCCAGCGCTGCTCACACCTTCCCCGAACGCCTCACAGCAAGCTGAGGGCCAGGTTCTTTTCTGTATGTTGCATATGAGAAACAAGGGCTCAGAGACAGTTAGTGACCCGCCCGGTGGCTCAGCAGAGGAGCCAACATTCCAACCACTTGTGCTCAACTCCAGAAGTGGTCCTTGCACCCGCCATGTCCCATGTAGCCAGAGCCTCTGCCAGCCTGGGCAGCGCAGCTGGGGGTCTGGGCAGCCGGCTCCCCACACCCAACTCCCTTCCTGTCTGTCACTGTGGTCAGCTCCACTGAGGAATATGCATTTAGTCTACTGTGGCATGAAACATTTAACAGAGGATTGGAAGAAAATACACGACTTCCCTTCCCCCAGAATGAAATCCCCTTGGTCACCAAAGGCCAAGGCTGCCACCTGGGTGTGGGCAGAGTGGCTCCCAGCGTGGGTGTGGCGAGGTGATCCGAAAGCTAAGGCCCGAATGTCCTGCGTGCATCCACAGTGCTCTTAACTCATCCAGTGTCCCTCACCCTTCAATCTCCTTTTCTTTCCGTGACACATTCTCAAGTCAAAAAAATTAAAAAAAAAAAAAATCTTGCCAGCATGTGTCCAGGTCTCTGCCACTCAGGGAAGACTCAGGCCCCACACGTGTCCAGGACCCTCCTGTCTGATAGCAAAGATGTCGTATACATGCTCTGACCCGCACACTGCTCCCCATGGCTTCTTGTTATAAAAGCACCCGCCTCCTGCTGCCACGGGCTGCCCAACACCAGGGATTGGAGCCGGCGTGTTCCAGCCCAGCTGACAGCACTTCGGGCCCCTTGGGAACAGTTAGGCTCCCGATGCCAGTGACCTGCAGAAAATAATAAGCAGTTTGTCTCTCTGACTCTGGCGAGTGAGTCACTTACTCAGGTTTCGTTTAACGAGCTGCTGTTTGGAAGGGGCGGCAGTTTCTAAAGCGACGCCAGGGTCAGTCCTGGGCTTCTGTTTGGGGACTGTACCCTCCAAGGCTGTGGTCTCCCTGTGGGGGCTGCACTGGGGCTGGTGGACTGGGTGCCCCTGAGAAGCGGGTCCGTGTTGTGCTGGTCCAACTATCAAACGCCAGGTTAGTCACCGGGGTGAGCATGCTATAAAGTCATTGTCACAAACAAGTCACAAAGCAGAGCTCTGCGGGGAAGGCCGCAAAGGGGTCCTGATCTTGGCTTCGTTCTCTCACCTGAGAGCTGGCCAAGGTGGCTGGACCACACCAAATATGCCTCCGTTAGGCCTCGTGGGAAAGAAGGGAGTCTTGTCACTGGATGAGGGGTCCCCAGTGCGCAGAGGGAGGCCTGGTCTTCGGTAGAGAGAGGGTCAGGCAGCTGTCTAAATTCACCACCCCCACCACGTTCCCCTCTTTTCCTCTCCGGGGGTCCCTGTGCCCATCGGCCTGGGGGCTGGAGACAGAGTTTCATGTCCCCTCATCTATGTCCTCATCGGGATCCCTCCTCTCACACAGGGGACCTTAAATCACAGGCCAGACGACCCCCACAGCCCCACACCTTCAAATGTGACCAGAGGCGCCAAACTCCCCCAAATCCCAAAAGCTCAGCATGAGCCTTTATCCCCCATAATGACAATGGAGGAAAAATTCAAATGTTTTCTACCATG